GGCTCAGGTAATCCACTCACCTCAGCCTCCCAAAGGCGCGGGATTACAGGCTGAGCCATGCATAACAGATCTTTAGGGAAAGAGTCAGTTGGTTCATCCCACATCCTGCCTATTCCCCAAAGCCCTTCCAGGCTATGACTGTCATGCCAGGCAGTGGGGGAAATGTTTTGTCAAGGGTGCTTCCCCGTCACCAAGAGATGCTATAAAATTAGCTCATGATGCTCACTTGGCAAACTCTGAAAGGTGACTTTGGTTCAGAAGACTTTGTGACAATTCTGCAAATTTCATGACTAATGTCATATAGCATATGAAATGAAAGAATCACAAGATCAACAGATGCTTCAGGGGCTGAAGGTGGGAATCTTAAAGTCTTTAAAACATATACAGCTGAGGTGAGTGGGCCTGAGCCCGCGGGTTCGAGATCCGCCTGGGCAGACCTCATCTCTACAATAAATCAAAAAATCAGCCGGGCGTGGTAGCGCATGCCTGTAATTCCGGCTACTCGGAAGGCTGAGGCGGAAGGATCGCCGGAGCCCTGCAGGTCAAGGCTGCGGTGACCGGGAGCGGCCACTGCACTCCAGTCTGGGTGACAGAGTGAGACTCCAACTAAAAACAACAACAACAACAACAAAAAAACCCACAAAACCATATACAGTGACTACTTCCAGCTAGCCAAATGTCAAATCTTACAGCCACAACCAAGCCACAGATTATAGGTGGTGGCCACCCAAAACGTCATAAATAGGAAAGATGCTCACCTAGGATGCAATGGTATCCAGGATTATATGACTTAGAATCTTTATAAAGCTGATCAGGCCAGGCTTGGTGGATCAGCCTGTAATCTCTACACTTTGAGAGGCCAAGGCAAGTGGATTGTCTGAGCCCACAGGTTCGAGACCAGCCTGGGCAACTTGGCAAGACCTTGTCTCTACAATAAATAGAAAATTAGCCAGGCATGGTAGCGCGCACCTGTAATTCCAGCTACTTGGAAGGCTGAGGCAGAATGATTGCCTGAGCCCAGCTAGTCTATGCTGGGGTGGCTGTGAGTGTGCCACTGCACTCCAGCCTGAGTGACAGAGTGAGACTCCAACTCAAAAAAAAAAAAAACCGACTATTCAGAAATGTTTGAGTTGTGACATCACAGGAGTAATTTCATGGCCTTTCCAGGTAGCAACTCAGAAAGATAACAGTGCTCTTTTCATACCGATGCTTTTATATTTATTTTAAAAACAGTCCCAAATGCCAGGAACGATGGCTCATGTCTGCAATCTTAGCACTTTGGGAGGCAGAGGTGGAAGGAATGCTTGAGCTCAGGAATTTAAGATCAGTCTGGGCAACATAGCGAGACCCCCATCTCTACAAAATACCTAAAAATTAGTTGGGCTTGGTGGCATGCACCTGTATTCCTAGCTACTCAGGAGGCTGAGGCAGAAGGATTACCTGAGCTCAGGAATTTGAGGCTGCAATGAGCCATGAGTGAGCCACTGCCCTCCAGCCATGGTGACAGAGTGAGACCAAAACTAACAAACAAAAAAGGTCCCAAAGCTTTAAGCCATATGCAAATATTTTTCAGGCTCTACTATATAAAGTTCCTATCTTGACAGGAAACTACTGAAAATTGTGTACAGTCTAAAAATAGTAAAATAGGGTAACTATTGCTTGTTTTTTTGTATAAATTCTACCATTCGATCTTCTACCATCAGGCATATTTCTACTCCTTTCTTTGAAATATACAATGTATTCCATCTGCAGCAGACAATTCGCTCATTTGTAATCAAGATGATAGTTTGAAACATCCAATTGTAATCAGAGTAACAGTTAACTTACCTTTAATAACAGAATTAAAAATAATTGCAATTAATAAAATGGGACTACTAGAAATGGAAAATGAATAGGATCTAGAGTGTAACTTCATCATCACATAAATACTGAGTGTCTTTATTACCAATACATGTGATTAGGAATGGACAAGATGTTCTCATACACTAAAACTTTTGTGGTAATGATTATATGTTTATTGAAAAACAGAAAAGAATGTTCTGAGTAAGACTACAGAGGATGCTTTAAAGTCAGTGATATCCTGCAAAATAAGGAGAGACAAATCTCCAACACTATTATCTTTAAATTCTTGATGTTTATTTTAAAAAGCTGTGTGTGTGTGTGTGTGTGTGTGTGCGTATTTTTTTAAGTTGGAGTCTCACTGTCGCCCAGGCTAGAGTGCAGTGGCACGATCACGGTTACTGCAGCCTCAACTTGCTGGACCTAGGTGATCCTTCTGCTTCAGCTTTCCAAGTAGCTGGAACTACAGGCATGTGCCACCATGCCCTGCTAATTTGTTTTAATTATTGTAGAGATGAGGTATCACCAAGTTGCCCACACTGGTCTCAACCTCCTGGGCTCAGGTAATCCTCTTGAGTCTACCTCCCAAAGTGCTGGGATTATAGGCATGAGCCACCGTGCCTGGCGTAAAAAGTATATTTTATACCTTATTTTAATTTTAATCATTCATAGGCATTTCTTGTACTGCTTCTGTTTTTT